TTCGATTCTCCACATTTTATTTTGGTGGTGTTCACAGAAGCCCCGGCTGCAGAACATCAGTGCGTTTAGTAGTGGTACAAACAAAGTTCTTCGAAGAATCTGTAGGCGCTTAAGGCCATTTTTCATGACAGTGTCTGTCATTAAAAGGCCTCCCAGAAGCTCAACTGAATTACGCTGTTTCAGTGATGGAGCCTTTATTCTGTTACAGGTAATCTAGTTTAATTACCTGACGAATGGGCTTGTGCGTGTAGACGCTTTTGACATTTGATCGTTTTTACGTCAACTTCAATGAATATCATTAACAGTTCCTCAGTGTAACAAGGGAATTCAGGTGTCATGGAACTTCTCCATCATGAGGTGCTACAAGGTGTTTATTTCCAATGTTCACAAATAGTCTTTTAATGAATTTGTAATGGCTGAATGTATTATTATAAAATAATAGCAATATTGGAATATGAAGAAATCTTTATTACAAGTGAGATTCCAAGAATGTTAGGACAGTAGGTAAAAGATAACTAAAAACGTAAAGCAATGATTTGTAAATCTACTTTGACCTGCATTTGAACAAAAAAAACAGTACAAAGACAAGATGGGTAATGTTTTATCAATTTCGTTATAAACATATGTTTATTCTGAAATTGATGCCTGAAACACTTTCCATAAACGTTGGAGCAGTTTAAGACTAGAAACATTGTGAAATGTTAAAAAAACTTAAACAGGTGATGTAATCATGCTTGTATATATAAGAACAGTCAGGTCAGTTTAGCAACCGGACTCTTTTAATACGGAGCAATGCTGTTGTAATACATGCAGAATGTGGTTTGACATTGTCTTGCTGAAATAATCAAGGCCTTCCCTGAAAAAGACGTTGTCTGGATGGCAGCATATGTTGCCAAAACACGTATATATCATTCTGTGTTAATGGTGCCTTCACAGATGTGCACGACACCCATGCCATGTGCACTAATGCACCCTTATACCATCATGAATACTGGCTTTTGAACTGCGCACTGATAACAAGCTGAGTGGTCTTCAGCCTGGAGGACACAGTGTCCATGATTTCCAAAAAAAAAGAATTTCAAATGTTGATTCGTCGGACCACAGGACACTTTTCCACTTCCTTTCAGTCCATTTTAAATGAGCACGGGCCCAGAGAAGGTGGCAGCATTTCTGGATCCTGTTTATATTTGGTTTCTTCTTTCCATTTTAGAGTTTTAACTTGCATTTGTGGATGCAGTGATGAACTGTGTTCACAGACAGTGGTTTTCAGAAGTGTTTCTGAGCTCATGCAGTGATTTCCACTATAGAATCATGTCTGTTTTTAATGCAGTGCTGCCTGAGGGCCCAAAGATCACAGCCAGCAAATACTGGTTTTTGGTCTTGTCCCTTGCATACAGAGATTTCTCCAGATTCTCTGATTCCTTTAATGATATTATGTACTATAGATTTTGAAAAGCAAAAGTTCTTTGCTGTTTTATGTTGAGAAACGTTTTTCTTGAATTGTTGCACTATTTGATCGTGCGGTCTTTCACAGAGTGGTGAACCTCTCCTCATCTTTACTTCTGAAAGACTCTCTGGGGTTCTCTTTTAATACCCAATCATGTTACTGACTTGTTGCCAATTAACCAACAGGTGTTTTTTAGCATTACACAACATTACCATCCTTTTTTGGAACTTCTTTGGAACAATGGGCATATATTTTTCAAAAAACAATATAATTTCTCAGTTTCAACGTTTGATTTGTACTTTTTTCAATAAAATATAGGGTTTAAATGATTTGCACATCATTGCATTTTGTTTTTATTTACATTTTGTGTAGCATCCCAACTTTTTTGGAAATGGGGTTGTACTATCTTTCTATCATACTGACAATTTCGCTCATCTTCTTACTGAAAGAAGTGGGATAATCAGTTCACTGATCTGAAATCACAGAATGCTGAACAGTTAATGAAGCAAAGTGCTTTATGTTTGGAACAGCAAAGAATATACAGTGTCATAGCTGACCATTTGAATGTCTTAAAGCACAGGGTTCAAATGGACAATCAAGAGCTGCTATCCAGTACAAGAAGGCTTGGGTTTTACTTTCTCAGAGAGGGTCAACAGACTTGTCTTTATTTGAATAGTGGTGCATACAACCCACAACTGTCTGCCTCGTTCCTCACAGCTCAGCGTTAATAAGAAAAAATGACTTCGGACCAGTATGGATAAAGCAGACTGGACAACGCCCATAAAACCTGGATAAGAACTTTGCTTCAAAACCAGGAAAGCAGCCTCTAGTTCCTAGAAAGAACTGATAAGATGTTCCCCTGATTCTTAGAACATGTTGTGTGAGCATATCTAGCATTGCTGGCTTTATTCGTTAAAGTTTTGTTTACATTTTGGAGACAGTGGGCAGTTCTTAGGGCATCAGAGATCCCTCAGTTATCTCACGGGGACAACCCCACTGACTTCAAACCACCCTCTGTCAGGTAATTGCAAAATTTGATTTAATTCCAAATTTAATTTCTCTATTTAATGTGTTAGCATTTCACAGAATTTGGAATAAACTTCGAGGTGAAAAGCCTCTATTATGTGAGCCAAGCTGCAAAAAAACTCTTGGGAGTAGTGATTACATCTTTTAAGGGGGACGGAAGAAATAAAGAGATTACAGAATTTAACGGGCAAATATCAAATTTAATCCACTCACCAAAAACTCACAAATAATAAAATGCATATTTTGGTGAAAATGGAAGAGAATCAGCTGTAGGTTTGTCTTCAAAAGATTTAAGAGCTACTCTATATAGCCAAAAGTATGTGGACACCCCTCCACCAAAGATATTTTGCTTCTTTAGTTTCACACTGGAGGTACAAGGTCCGTGAATGCCGTGTAAAACTTTCTTGGACAACAAAGAATTCAATTATATTATTATTGCAGCTACATGTCAAACTAAATAGCAAACTTTGGGCAGTAAACGTCTTGGCTGATCTGAGTAAATAGAAAATTGTGCAGATTTAGTTTTTTAGTCAACCATTTCTTAGCCTACAGACATAGTCTATCCTATAATACAGTGGTTCCCAAACTTTTAGAGCCCCCCATAGATTCCTGCTGCGTACCCCCCTCACTCCTTATATACACACACACGTATACTGCCAAGACGCAATATGTGAGACATTTTGTCTTGTAAAGATCCTCGTATCTCCAACATCGTAACTTTATAGGAGAAAACCTACTTTACTTTTAATGTAAGTCAATGGAACCAGATTTTTTCCAAGTCATTCTAGGCTGTTTCTTTTGGTTCATTCATCATGAAATTTACATACAATGTAAAGGACAACAGGTATTTTCAAATCATGCGAAAATCTGAAAAATGACAAAAATGGAGATGCGAAGTTTTGTTTCCGACAGCAGCGAAATATTTTATTTCTATGTTTATGATACGATGACACAACACAACAGATACACCGATCAGAAAAAAGATACTACAAGGTCACTGGGGTGGTGCCCTCAATGGCACATCATTTTAGATACACATTTGAGCCTTAAGGCCCTGTTCACATTCCAAGCCTCGTCCTGAAATGACCCTCATGAGCACGTCCTACTCAGTAATGTCACGTGAATGAATCACGAGCATCATCAGCACAAACTAACGAGCAGAACGAGCTTCGCTGAGAAGATCATTAACTCTGATCAGCTCTCAGCTTCATTATTAGAGCGAGACGAAGGAGAAAAAGGTGAGATGAGCTGCTTTTCCACCGTTTACAGGCTTTAACTTCTGTTCGGCGCTGCTGCCATGGTAACACTGAATGATGGCGCAGCACAGTGGGAAAAAAGCACATGAATTCCGATCTGAGCGTCACATTAAGGTCACACGGCTACGAATCGGATACGTATCCGATCTAGCACCACATATGAAAGTGGCTGAGGTCAGATATGAAAAGATCAGATTTGTGTCCACACAGCCCTAAAAACATCAGATCTGAGTCACATTAAGGCAAAAAATCAGATTTGTGCCTCTTCAACCTGGTAATGTGAACGTAAGATTGTTATTGTACACTCTTAAAAAAGATGGTTCTACTAGGTTCTTTAGTAAAGAAAATGGTCCTATATAGAACCATAAACACTCAAAGAACCATTTGCATGTTTCAGGGGTTCTCTTCATCATGAAAGCGTTCTTCAGATTGATGGAGAATATGCTGTAGACAGTTCTATATTTTGAAATGGGTTCTACATAGCACTATATAGGTTCAGTTACTGTTTAGATGTTAAGCTTGTAACAACAGAAGAATCCTTTTTGGTACTACGTGGAACCCTTTTCAAAAAGGATAGCAAGTTAATAACCCAACAAACTGGGTTTTTCTGGCCCTACACACAAAAAAGATGGTTCTTCAATGATTCTTCAGCAAAGAAAATGGTTCTATATAGAGGAAACAAAAATAGTTCTTCTATTGTAACAAGCTTGATTTCGTAATAATATAAGAACCCTTTTTGGTGCTGTATAGAACATTTTTCATTGAGGTTCTATATAGAACCATCCACAGCACATTTTCCATTAATCTGAAGAACCCATTTATCAATGCAAATAATCCTGTAATCATGCAAAGGTTCTTTGAGTGTTCATGGTTCTTTATAGAACCATTTTCCTTATTAAAGAACCCTTGAAGAACCATCATTTTTAGGTGTGTACCTTTGGGGTTTTTATTAACATTGTTTGCACCCTGATGAACGAAAGTGCACTTATACAGTACTACTATACAGGCTCTATTCTTAAAATATCATACCGTACGACTTTTTTTCTCGAAATATTACGACTTTTTTTCTCGAAATATTACGACTTTTTTTCTCGATATATTACGACTTTATTCTCGAAGTCCACTCTTTTATTTGTATTAACAGTGGCCCTAAAACGCCGTCGTAGTCTGTGTTCCTGCATTTCTGTGTGGAAATCGGTGGAAACAGCGGCATCTGGTGGCGAAAACTCGTCCATTTTCCTGGGTGGGTGAAAGACAACACTGCGTCAAATCCCCGCGACGGTCAGTCGTAACCCGCACGTGAAATCAGCCGGTAGAAGAGTTTAAAATGTCGGTTTTCCACGACGAGGTTGAAATCGAGGACTTTGAATACGACGAAGAAACGGAAACGTACTACTTTCCGTGTCCGTGCGGAGACAGATTCGCCATCGCGAAGGTAAGAGTTTATAAAAACAAAGCATTCGGCGATTTTGGCCGCTGCTAACCTAACCTAGCTTAGCTAACCGAGAAGCTAATTCACTGTTTATATATTAATATTCACCAAAACGTCTTTCAGTCACTAAAGTGAAAGCTAAATACACTTTTTAAACATATTAGGTGTTTAAAATGACAAAATTTGACATTTAGTGGCGTAACGTTAAGCTTTGCTCTGGTGGTTAGCTAACCTAAGCTAGTTATAACTAAGTTATATACTTTTATCATGTTAATAAAAAGTTAGTAAGTTATTTATATAACTAAGACGCTGTCATTTGACCTTCTGGCAGGAAACTTTTCCCTGTTGTTTTAGTTAACCTGTATGTTTCACGTGTCTGAAGACTCCACTTCTGTCCAGCTGCCCAATGTTTGTTTGTTTGTTTGTTTGTTTGTTTGTTTCAGGAGGATCTGGAGAATGGTGAGGAGGTGGCCACCTGTCCGAGCTGCTCACTTATAGTGAAAGTAATTTATGACAAGGCAAGTCCGTCTAGCATCATTATCAGACTAATGGCATCAAGACTTTGTCCAGGGTGCTTATAAACCTCCTCAGATGCAGTCTGTGAAGAAAGACACTGTCTCATGTTCAAGGCTGCAGCCGAGGTGGGAGAGACCTTACTAATGGGGTGTCAAATCTTATTCACAAAGGGCCGGTGTGGCTGCAGGTTCTCATTCCAGTTGTTTGGCTGTTCACAATATCTTTTAACCTCTTGTTGACCAGGGTATATTTTGGTTTGTCCATCTGAATTTACATGACCAAATCATAAGGCAAATTATTCAGTAACTGCATGAAATAATTGTAAATTTTTATTTTATTTATTTATTTTTTGTAAAAGCTCCACTCAAATTAACAGAACATGTGTTTTATGATCACACATATTGCTATATGCTTACAATTTACTGCTGAAAGCCAAAAATCTTTCGCTCTTTATATTTTTTTTTATAAAAATAATTTTTACAGAGCAGATCACTGAAGAGACGCCATCTGTTTATAGTTTATAGCTCAGATTTGTGAAAAATGGGTCGACTTTCAGTAGAAAAAAAAATTGTGAGTTCAGCTTCTTTTATTATAAGGGTTTAAAATGACATCACCCATCTATTTGACTGGAAAGAAGACAGTTACAGCTCTCATACGACCCCCACCTTTAGAATGTAGCTTATGAAATCTGAAAGTTATGAAGAATATGACAAAGTGCGTTTTGGGTCCACCGGTGGTCTCAAGGAGTTGGAAAGGTTCAATGTGATCTGTACGCAGCATCAGTCTGAACAGATCAGCTCCTACACTGGCCCGAATCTTTGGTTCGTGTCGTCGGATTCTTTAAACTTTGCTTTCAGGCTTTTATCTGTTCTTTGACGCTGCAGCCTCGTTCTCCTGCGGCCGCTTTCGGACATTTCTTTCTAAATCTCTTCAAACACGGAGGGTTTTGGATGAGTCTCTTCTAATTTTTGTACAGAAATATCAGCCCCAAATGTTTATTCGGTCTCAGCAGTGAAATTATGACGAATGTCGAGTTGGATTGATGTAAAAGCTGCGTGAAATCTGGCTGTTGAGACGATTTACATTAAGATATGCAGAGCAGATTTACAGTACAGACCTTTTCAGTGAGCTATGAGGGCAAAAAAACAAACAAAAAAAACCCAAAACAAAAATATGTTTATTAATCGTAATCGAGGTAAAATATTCAATTAATCGCGATATTGATCTGAGGTCATATCACCCAGCACTAGTCTGTATTTTCATCTTGTGAGCCTCTGTGCAACAACAAACTGCGTATTAGATTGTTTGCTGCACCAGACGTGTTCAATACGTTTCCTTCATTTCCGTAATGACGTACTAAGGCTTTGTTCAGACTGACAGCCCAAATCTGATTTTTAACATATCCATTTTGATTTTTGAGTCTGGACAGCAGAAAAACCCATGAAATCTGATTTTTGCAAATCAGATCCAAACCTCATTTGAAGGTGGTTAGAAATGTGGTTCTAATCTGATTGATCGCTTATTCTGAACGTTCTGGACGCACAAATTTCGGATTTCAAGGCATCTTTTTCATCACTTGCAACGAGACAAGCAACAGTGATGTCAAATCCAGAGTGACGGAAGTGCTGGGGTTTAAGAAGAGCAGAAGAGTTTAGATGGTGAGATGATGCACCTCCATCTCTCCTGCATCTCTATTTGAATCCATGTCTCCAGCGTAGCTACTGACGCCTGCGTTGTTACCACAGAACCCTCATGCAGAGCGGTTGGTTATTTCTGGACACACAAATCACTTGCAAATAACAGAGCAGACAGTCGTCTCATTGGATCTGATTTGCCTGCAGTCTGAACACAGCCTTAGACTCCTCGACGCCACTTTATTGTAAACAAGACAGCCATGAGCTGTTGATAAAGTGATAAACCATCACTTAAATTACCCAATTTTTTGCGTAGCTGTGGATTAAAGTGATCTGATGATAATTTACCGTATTTCACCTGATGAGGGGTGAAGGCAAACTCAGTGATGTACTGGGAAAATCAAATTCTGTAGTCCGAATTCCTTGAAAAGGAACCATTTTCAAATTATTTTTTTTATTATTTGAAAAAGGAACCAGCTGAATGCAGGTGGATATTATGTTGTTCCTCTCCACAACTGAAGTCGGCTTCATATCTTCTTATTGGGCTTTTCCGGTCCATCTTAAATGACGCAGTGGTTACCTTACTGATGCACAGGTGCCAGAACAAAACTGCAGCGCCATTTAGGGTGGAATGGAAGTTTGAATAAGAAGCTGGCAGATGAGGTGCAGCTTAGTCCTTGTATCGTTTCTAATCATTATTCATTGTAACCCTATTGACGAAGAAAATGAAGAGCTGTGGTGCAGGACATACTGAAAACATTTTTTATGAGCATAGTTTGTGCTAACAGTGGCTGATAATTAAACAATCCTATGCTACTCAAGACTTTCCTGCATTACACATGCCTTCATCAACACCTCCATCGAGCCAGTTGCAATGATACAAGGACACAAATTGTCAATAGCCACGTTTACATGCAGACTAATAATCCGTTTATAATCCAACTGATAGTTCAATCGGACTAGACTAGTCCGATTGAGGCCGTTTGGAATACAGTTTCTATCTGATTGAACGAGGTGGGTAATCCTGTAAATAATCCGTTAAATAGAAGAATAATATCCGTGTAAACGCCTGTATCTGATTACATTCCCTATCGGAAAGTTTAAGTCCGTTCTGATCATGTTCGTTACGTCATAGTGAAAGTTTATACCGTTCAACATGGCGGAGCAGAAACTGGTCTGCAGAGGAGACGAAGTTTATGCTCTGATCTTTAAAAGACGGCGGTGGGACGGACGTCCAGCTTATGTGTCTCAGAACACGACGTCTTCCTCTCGGCCTTCTTTAATAAGGACATGTGAAGGACGTTTTCCTGAGTCTGACATCATTTTAAAGCAATTAAAAACACAAGCACTGCTCACTGCTGCTCGTCTCACTCTGACTGGACTCACGTGATGCTGGTTGTCATGGTAACGTCTACACTAAGCGGCAGTCTTAAAAATGCTTGCACATTTTTGATCAATTTTGGAAATGTGGCGCATTAGTGTAAACTTATGGAAATTACAGGGTGTCCCAAAAAAATTGACATCATTTGAGATGTGAATATCTGAGTAACTGCATGTTGTAGGCAAACGACATTAAATAGGCTTCATGTTGAACAATACAAGATTTATTTATCAAAATTCAAACAAGAAATTCAGAGGGATGTAGATTTTATAACCAATTTCACAGCTTCATTAATGTAATATCTTCCGATGCTGGTGGTCGTCCAGACCCCTTTGTCCTGCACAGACAGCCTTACTCTTTGAGTTTTTTGTCCAAATCTGCTTTCCAGTTCGTGCATTTTAATGAATTTTCTCGAAAATGCAGGCTGCACACTCTCGTTTGACTGTGTTTGAGCATATTCTAACACACAAAATGCCTTTTCATTTCTAGTGAACGCCGTTCTTCAACCTGAAAAACATGAAAAATTAAACTTGATTAGTTTTTACACATTGTGTTAAAATTTGAGATCATTTGAGGGAGAATTGGCTGTTATTAGACTATGAAATGATGTCAGTTTTTTTGGGACACGCTGTATTATAGTTAACCAAAACTATTGCTAAAATGAAAATGATTAATAAAATAAAAACCAGCAGGGAAAAAACCTTCTTGTTAACTGTAGTAAAAATAAAAATGACACTTTTCAAAAAACACACGGTTTCAAAACTATAATGTCCACTGAAAATCTAATTAAAATGAAATGAAATAGAACTCCTTGGTCGGGGGGGGGGTTACTTGATATTAGCCATCAAATACTACTTTCGTGACATTCACATACGTCACAGCCTTGGTTGTTTCTGTAATGTTACTGTTCTCTATATTTACAGGAGCAGTTCATGTGTGGGGAAGTCATTGAAGCACCGGCTGCGTCTGAAGCTAAACTGGAGGTGGCCTAAAGATGACGGCTATCATCATCAGCTACATTTTGGCCCAAAGACTGTACGAGGAACATTTGGACATGATGTCTTCAGCTCCACTACTACTAAATAACTCCACTAACTGGATTTGTAGAACTACCGAGTGGGGGAAACTCCTCTGTTCTCATGCACTCAAGACATTTGCAACAGCAGTATTTTGCACTTGGACAGTCAATGTAGTTAATATTATAAAGTTATTTATATTTAATAGCATGTGTAGATAGACTCTGAATATATTTTATATTTGTTGTATTTTAAAATAAATTCTAGGGAATTTGAAGCATTTTAGTTGTAATTATGGCACTTGAACAGCAGGGGGTGCTGCTGAATCATCAAAAAAATCAGCTCGTATACTGGTAGGTCTCTCCATTAGCATACAGATATCAAACGGGTTTGGGGAGTAACGAACTACATGCTGTTACAGGGAATTCTCTGCCATATTAGAAGGTTAGAACTGACAAAACTAACATACTGACAGCATCGCTTCCAGTAGGACGATTTCACAGCTGATAACACAGATAACGGCCTTATTATGTGGCTTGTAAGTACAATGTAGGTAAGGGGTGTCAAACTCAACCACTAAAGGGGCCGTATTAAAAAATCTCAGCAATCTGTGGGTCAGAGAAAAAAATGTTTATTTTATTTTTAATTAATGTTGTGCTCTAACCCGAACACTGTAAAATACAGGCATGTGTAGTAAACCTTAAAATACAGGGTGTCCCAAAAAAATTGACATCATTTGAGATGTGAATATCTGAGTAACTGCATGTTGTAGGCAAACGACATTAAATAGGCTTCATGTTGAACAATACAAGATTTATTTATCAAAATTCAAACAAGAAATTCAGAGGGATGTAGATTTTATCACCGATTTCACAGCTTCACAAATGTACTATCCTCCGATACTGGTGGTCGTCCAGATCCCTTTGTCCTGCACAGACAGCCTTCCTCTTTGAGTTTTTTTGTGCCGTGTCCAAATCTGCTTTCCAGTTGGTGCATTTTTATTGAATTTTCTGGAAAATGCCGCTGCACTCTCTTGTCTGACTGTGTTCGAGCATATTCTAACACACAAAATGCCTTTTCATTTCTAGTGAACGCCGTTCTTCAACCTGAAAAAAAAACATTAAAACATTCTTAAATTATTAAAATTAAACTTGATTAGTTTTTACACATTTTGTTAAAATTTCATTTCATTTTTTTTTTATAAAAAATCATTTGAGGGAGAATTGGCTGTTATTAGACTACGAAATGATGTCAGTTTTTTTGGGAAACCCTGTATTACATGAATACTTGAAATATTAAATTTAAACATCCCCAGGAGCTCAGTCTTCAAAACCTACCTATTTGCTTGAACTAAACACCTGGCAAGTTCATTAAGACTTGGGCTCAGTTTCTGAGCTGCTGAGCTGACATTTGGTGTTTATACTGGCTGAACTGCAGCTGAAATGCAGTTAGTGTGTATAACTGGTGTGGAACTGTAACCACTGTCCCATAGACTGTTGTTGGGGCAGGAAAGTCAGAGCACACATTACGTTGCAGTGCATGCTGGGGACTGTAGTGCAACACACTGCTAAACAGGTTGATATTAATAGAAATTTTAAATACTTCCGCGGGCCGGATAGGATTGTGTTGTGGGCCTGATCTGACTCGCGGGCCTTGTGTTCGACAGATGGGGTGTAGATTAAAAGTAATGAAGACTCATTGCATTGTTGCTATTTCTGTGTAACCTTTAGGTAGTGGTTAGTGTGGTTAGTCAGACTGGTTTTGTCTGTGGACGGTGCCTGCGGGGAAGTACAGCTACGACTGAATCAATCTGACTGTCGTGGGAATCAAGTTATGTGTGGGGAAGTCATTGAAGCACCGGCTGCGTCTGAAGCTAAACTGGAGGTGGCCTAAAGATGACGGCTATCATCATCAGCTACATTTTGGCCCAAAGACTGTACGAGGAACATTTGGACATGATGTCTTCAGCTCCACTACTACTAAATAACTCCACTAACTGGATTTGTAGAACTACCGAGTGGGGGAAACTCCTCTGTTCTCATGCACTCAAGACATTTGCAACAGCAGTATTTTGCACTTGGACAGTCAATGTAGTTAATATTATAAAGTTATTTATATTTAATAGCATGTGTAGATAGACTCTGAATATATTTTATATTTGTTGTATTTTAAAATAAATTCTAGGGAATTTGAAGCATTTTAGTTGTAATTATGGCACTTGAACAGCAGGGGGTGCTGCTGAATCATCAAAAAAATCAGCTCGTATACTGGTAGGTCTCTCCATTAGCATACAGATATCAAACGGGTTTGGGGAGTAACGAACTACATGCTGTTACAGGGAATTCTCTGCCATATTAGAAGGTTAGAACTGACAAAACTAACATACTGACAGCATCGCTTCCAGTAGGACGATTTCACAGCTGATAACACAGATAACGGCCTTATTATGTGGCTTGTAAGTACAATGTAGGTAAGGGGTGTCAAACTCAACCACTAAAGGGGCCGTATTAAAAAATCTCAGCAATCTGTGGGTCAGAGAAAAAAATGTTTATTTTATTTTTAATTAATGTTGTGCTCTAACCCGAACACTGTAAAATACAGGCATGTGTAGTAAACCTTAAAATACAGGGTGTCCCAAAAAAATTGACATCATTTGAGATGTGAATATCTGAGTAACTACATGTCCGAGGCAAACAAAATTAAATAGGCTTCGTGTTGAACAATACAAGATTTATTTATCAAAATTCAAACAAGAAATTCAGAGGGATGTAGATTTTATCACCGATTTCACAGCTTCACAAATGTACTATCCTCCGATACTGGTGGTCGTCCAGATCCCTTTGTCCTGCACAGACAGCCTTCCTCTTTGAGTTTTTTTGTGCCGTGTCCAAATCTGCTTTCCAGTTGGTGCATTTTTATTGAATTTTCTGGAAAATGCCGCTGCACTCTCTTGTCTGACTGTGTTCGAGCATATTCTAACACACAAAATGCCTTTTCATTTCTAGTGAACGCCGTTCTTCAACCTGAAAAAAAAAAAACATTAAAACATTCTTAAATTATTAAAATTAAACTTGATTAGTTTTTACACGTTTTGTTAAAATTTAATTTCATTTTTTTTCATAAAAAAATCATTTGAGGGAGAATTGGCTGTTATTAGACTATGAAATGATGTCAGTTTTTTTGGGAAACCCTGTATTACATGAATACTTGAAATATTAAATTTAAACGTCCCCAGGAGCTCAGTCTTCAAAACCTACCTATTTGCTTGAACTAAACACCTGGCAAGTTCATTAAGACTTGGGCTCAGTTTCTGAGCTGCTGAGCTGACATTTGGTGTTTATACAGGCTGAACTGCAGCTGAAATGCAGTTAGTGTGTATAACTGGTGTGGAACTGTAACCACTGTCCCATAGACTGTTGTTGGGGCAGGAAAGTCAGAGCGCACATTACATTGCAGTGCATGCTGGGGACTGTAGTGCAACACACTGCTAAACAGGTTGATATTAATAGAAATTTTAAATACTTCCGCGGGCCGGATAGGATTGTGTTGTTGGCCTGATCTGACTCGCGGGCCTTGTGTTCGACAGATGGGGTGTAGATTAAAAGTAATGAAGACTCATTGCATTGTTGCTATTTCTGTGTAACCTTTAGGTAGTGGTTAGTGTGGTTAGTCAGACTGGTTTTGTCTGTGGACGGTGCCTGCAGGGGAAGTACAGCTACGACTGAATCAATCTGACTGTCGTGGGAATCAAGTTACTCATGAATCTGAGTCAAGAATTACCTGAAAGAAAGCATATGAATATTAAAACAATAGGTGTTTATATATAATTTATATTTTAGCATCAGAATTATTTATTAGTATGTTTTCACAACAAAGTAATTAAGTGATCACACAAAGACAGCAAACCGAAATGTAATAAAAGCTGAATATAAAATGTGCAGTAATGTACAGACTCAGGTGGATTAGACAGCAGGAGACGGTTTAAGTATCAACTCTGCAAAGTATAAAATATTTGCATAACAATGAATAGGAAAAGTGAGCGATTAGTAATGTCTGCACAGCACACAGCATTGTGTGCATTTATCTAGTGCGAGCGTGAGAGGATTACGAACGCTGGAGCTCGGCCTTCTGTTGATGTGCTGTTGGTACTTTACACATTCTGGTTCTGTCAGATTTTTGTCTGAGGCAGACTTGCCAAGTCTGAATTGTTCACAGTGGTGGTGATAGGAACCAGACGTCTGAGAGATTTAATGCCTCTAAAAGCTCCCTCACTGTAAATTATTAAACGAAATGGTTGTGAATACACTGCCTGATACCCGAGACACTGGGCGCCATCCGGCAACTGTTTTTAAGGAGAAACAACTGCTTAAAACTCGTCAGTTTTCACAAAGACTCTGATTCACCTGTGTTTTTTTATGTGGGATTTGTTCTTAGGTAAGAACAGAATCTACACACACTCGAGCACAAAGGTGAGAACAGTTCTGTGGTTTAAGAACGTGTCATGAATCTGACGTAGACTTTTTCTAAGGACCTTTCTCACAAACACTTTTAAGAAAAAACTTAGGAAGATGTTGGTGAATGAGGCCCAAAGTTTTATGGATTGTTTTCAGATTTTAAAATAATGGTGGAAATGTATGTTGGGTGCAAAAGAGATTTTTTTTTTTTTTCAGATTTCGGGAACAAAGTGGTACAATAATCCATTGCAATTATATTTTTTTAAGTTGTACTGACTCCACACACTCCGTCTCGACTGCAGTGCAAGTGGACTGGTTAGAAAAAGGTGTAAATATATACCTTTTCCCCATGGACAAACATCATTAAGGTGTGCAGCTGGACCTTGAAATCATTGAGTGTGTTTACATGCACTTAATAATCCTATAACTGCAGAAAATCAGATTTTGTCAGTAATCCGATCAACACGTTTATATGCATTTGAGTAGTCAGATAATGGGGAAACTCCAGGTCTACATGAGTCAGACAGTAATCAGATTTCTGCTTTGCAACCAGCCAATAAACTCGCTGAAGAAGACGTGTCGTAAAAGTAACGTTAAACTCAAACTTCGTGCCGCGGCTTTTTTAAAATATTGCGCCACTTTACCTGAAAATATGAACAAATATCATCTAGAACATGAAGAATATTTAAATCCTCTCACGACATCCACCGTCTGATCTCTCGCATGCGCAGGCTGAGAAATCTGAAAGAAATCAGAGTAAGAGTTCACATGCACTGAGAAATCTGATTACTGAGTTAAAATTCAGCCTCTTTATCGGATTTCTTAATCTAGTTGGGAGTGTGGTGTTTACATGAGCATTTGAATAATCGGATAACTGCAGAAATCTGATTATGATCGGATTATTGAGCGCATGTATACGCACTCGCTGTTGTACCTTGATGAACTGCTTCTGTTTTTTTCTGACAGTGTGGAATTCCCCTTTAAACTTCAGTGAGCAATGTGGACACCTTAAATTAAAGACACCACATGCAGTGGCAGTAAACATAAATTCAGCTTTGACGTTGCGAGGCATTCTGCTGTTGTCTGGCTCTGAAAATATGCAATCAATTTCATCTATTTGACAGTGTTTATATCAGAACCTGGTTATTCAACAGCCAGGGATGGCTGTGGAGCGACAAAGGCAGTAGACCTGATGTTAAAATGCATGACTGTGTTCAGCAGTGTTTCCCGACTAGGGCTGGGGTCCTGCTCATTTTAGTGCTTTTACACCTATTTCAGCTCAGTAAGGGGTT